CTTCCTTCCTTCCTTCCTTCCTTCCTTCCTTCCTTCCTTCCTTCCTCTTCTGTGCTGCCTATCTCAGCCTAGAAGTGATAATAGGCATTTGGAATAGGCTTGTAGCTCAGTATTTAAAATAAAGTTAAACAAGTCAGTGAATAAATACTTTGATGACGTGCAAAATATTCCTGAGCACCAAAGTTGTTTTCGAAATAAATAATAAAAACAGGAACCCTAGAATTAATTTTGCTAATCTTGTTTTTTGGGGGGGGGGGGGGGGGGGGGTGGTTGGCTGGCTTGGGAGCAATGGAAAATATTGGGTTTCAGGAAAGGTCTCTTGTCTGTATTCCATTAGCACCTAAGAGAGATGTGGTTGGCAGTTCTTGTTTTAAATTAATTTTATATACTTGATCATATTTTATGGATTTTAACCTGATAAAACCAGTGAGTTGGCATCCAGATTTATGGACTGTTGGCTGTGTCGGACCTGCTGGCTTTAAGGAGAAAGAATTGGCATTTAATCTCCCATGATTTGCATCTAAGTAAGATGAATTTGAATCTAAGTATGCTTTGGAAGTGCATTCAGTAAATATGACAAAACGAGATTGGTGATTAGTATACAGAGGAAGGGGAAAAACTGAGTTTATTATTACAATAAGATAACGCAGAGCAATCGAACCTGTGACCTTCTTTCTTTCCTTTCTTTCTAATTTGATTGAAATCACAAAACAGGCTGTGAAAGAAAACACAAGGTTTTTTTGATAGTGCCTTCAAAATCAGACTTATATTTTAAAACTTTGCAATCCCCGTGAAGCTTGATGGCAAAGAGATGTGCTTTCCTGCATCTGAAAACTGTAGTGTTGATTTAAGCCTGGTGGCATCTTTTGATACATTAAAAGTCTTTACAAATGATTTTTTAATATTTCCCTTTTGGGCGTAAGGGTATTTACATGCTGTGAGACCTGGCAGGGGGTTTCAAAAAAATTTTTTTCTAGCTTGATCAGCAGGGGCAAATTTGAGAATTTTTTTTGGATTTCTAGTGCTGATGTTAAACAACCTCAGTAAAAAGATGTAGCCCTGGGTTTTTGACATTTTCCAGAAATAAGCCGCATTTCTTGGCTGCTGTCCTGTTTTTGAGTGCTCAACAATGCTAATTGTCTTTCCAGTCTCGAATATGGGAACAATTAGTTCATCTGTTCAATTTTTAATTTTATTAAAGAATGATAAACTGCCAGCTTGCTCATTGATAACTTGGAAATGGTTCCTTAACTTCCTCCTGGGTACCCTGTGAGTTAAAGACTGCATGCAATTTTTGGCTAATAATATTACAGGTTTCTTGTCCGGACTAGAACATTTTTATGCAGAGTTCTGTTCCTTTCCTTGATACCTGTTGCTTGTCAGGGAGTAAAAGGGAATGAAGGAATGAAAGACAAGGCAAAAAGAGGAATAGCAGAAAATGAATGAGCATCTCACCATAACATGGGCCTAACACAGATAAGGGGATCAGAGGTGGTATTCAGCAGGTTCTGACCAGTTCTGGAGAACCGGTAGCGGAAATTTTGAGTAGTTCAGAGAACTGGCCAATACCACCTCTGACTGAAGATTTTACAGTATCCTTCCCCTGCCCCGCCCACCAAGCCCCGCCCACAGAACTGGTAGTAAAAAATTTTGAATCCCACCACTGAAGTGGATGGATGGTTGGAGTCATGGAATCAGTAGGCATGAGGTGAAATGGACTCCAGATGATGGTAGAGGACAGAAAGGTCTGGAGGAATGTTGTCCATGGGAATGTTGTGATGGGTCGGACACGACTCTGCAACTAACAACAAGAACATAGATCACCCCCTAATTTTATCCCTGTCTGCAACAGCCCTTTGGGTGGAACAAGCATGCCTGGCTCAAAGCCACACGGTGAGCTTTTATGGTTGTCGGTAGATTTGAACCCAGTCCTAGTCAACATCTCAACTGGCACACTATATGGTGACCTCCATGCGAGCTCTTCTGTGACTAGCATCCCTCTCAAAATAACATGCATTTATCTGCTTGTGGCTTTCGCTATACAGAATTGCCTTAAAATAACCAGTTTTTGTCGCCGGACCTTCAACTCCAGTAAAATCAGCAGGAGTTTACACTCCGTTTGCCTCTTTCCTTTGGAAATGTGGGGAGCGATCCAGACTTAAGGGTGACTTTCCTTTTTTTTTCATTGGCAGGAGGTTTGAGAAGAGAGCTAGAGAATGATAAACGAGAGATCCGGGCATTGGAAGAGCGCAACAGCATTACCAGCCAGGAAGAACGAAATGAGGAAGATGAAGATATGGAGGACGAATCAATTTACACCTGCGATAACTGCCAGCAAGACTTCGACTCTTTGGCAGACCTGACCGAACACCGAGCTCACAACTGTCCAGGAGGTAATGTTAAACTCGCTTTACAAATCTGACAGGTGGTTAGCTGAGTAATTGGACATAGCAACAGCTTGAGGCCTCGAGTGAGATTAAAGAATTAATAATGTAATTTTACTGTTAATGTAATTCTACCGTGGTGCCTTGGGTAGGCTTTGTTCACTTCTCTTCAATAAAATTAAAATTAAGAAAGCAACTTGGCTTTTCCAGTTGCAGATCTGATGGTAATAAGTTGAGATGATGATGATTATTATTGAGGGTTTTTTTTTAAGGCAGGCAACCAGCAATAGAGGGAGTTGTTTGAGCTTTTTTTATACCCAATCCAGCTTTGATAGGTTTGGGGAGAAAACTCACCCAACTTTTCTCTCTTCCTTGCCATGATTTTACAATTTTCAGGCTGACCAGCAAATGCCAAAAACTAAACCAAGGACCCTTCTGTAGAGGGTAGGCACAAAGCTCTTGATGTGACCTGGAGGATTTGTCAAGGAAATGGGGAAATCAGAAGATTCAGGAAGTTCAAAGAGTATAAAGATTTATTGCAAGCTTAATCTCTCTACAAGAATCTGGCCAACTGAGTGTTAAGGGAAATGAGGGGGAGATAAGAGAGGCATTCAAGGTGGACTTGATTTAGATCTCTTGTGGGTGCAAAGAGACTCGTGACTTATGATACATTTGACTCCACCCTTGGGCTCAGCCTGGTCATCTCCCATCAGGTTCATCCTGAATTCAGCCATCATCTTTTCTGCAATGGTCCAGCGCAGCCTCAACCACCAGAACTAGAACAGGGCAAAGCCTGGTTTAATGCATTGTTGAGGCTCTAAGGGGTTTAAGGAGCATCTAGAGGAGAAGTTTATGCCATCTTCCTCCTTCTAAAGTAGGTCCACCCATCATTTGCAGTGTGGCCTTCATAAGGTACAACTTCTACTCTGGAGAAAAATGTAAACTTCTGATCTATGCCAAGGTCAGGAATCCTGTAGGAGAGGACCAGGCTGAATTAAACAGAAGGGTTAAACGCATCATAGGTCATCAGTCCCTTCACATGCACAAGAGATCTAAGTCCAACCCACCTTGAATGCTTCTCTGATCTCTTGTGTATTTCCCTTGACCATTAGTTGGTCAGATTCTTGTAGAGAACTTAAGCTTGCAATAAATCTTTATACTAATTTGAATTGCCTGAATCTCTTGATCTCCTGATGCTTGAGACTTTACCTGCTCACAGCAAAGAGAAAGAAAGTAATCAGATATCCGTGGCACTGGAGAATAACCTTATAGTACCTTTCCGTCAGGTGAAAGCAACCAGAACCACTTGTGAACAATTCCAAACAGACGCTTTATTGCTACTCCGCTATGTTACAAGAATCTCACCAGACTTTCCCTTGGAAAACAGTCAGATAAGGCTTTAAGGATTCCGGGGGAGGTCTTGTGCCCTAAAAGCTCAATTCCCCCTTAATGCCTCCCTCCAGTTTAGCTGGAGATTCCACCCCATCATCTGAACGGGGTTTGTCTTTACGTTCCGTTTTTGCATGGGGCAAGAACGCAGAGCCATTGAGTCTGCTTGGCGTGTCAGTGTCCTCTTCTTTGTTTTGAAGCATTGAGGAATCTTGTGCAGGAGCAAATCGATAAGTTATACATTCAGGTTGATAATGTTGCAACTGCAGCTAATATAATACAGTATAACTAATGACTTCCATAGGGACGCTGAAGTTTAGTTGACCCTGCAGTTTGGGATCAGGGCAAGGCCGAGGATGGACCATCTCTTTCAATGCGGTCCCTTAGAAATTCATTAGAGTTTATGGAAGTTGCAGTGTGGTGTTGGAAAAAGTTAACAGCCATTTTCACCCTGCTCCTTGTGGCTCAGTATATTTCAGGGCAAAACCTCCATCAAAAACATAGAGGTCTTCATTCCCCTTTACTTGGTTCTGTTTCATTTCTGATGCCCGGAACCAATCGGCTAGATTGCTTACTTTTTATTTTTATAACCTTGAAACTTATAACCCCTTAAATGGGGATGCATCGCTTTAGAAAAGGGACCTAACGCAAGGTATGAAGAACTTTGTCGTTGACATGTTCATCCCCAGAAAAGAACTTGAGATCTCATGCTGTGCAATTGTAGCATCTGCAGCTGTGGCAGAGGCAAGACAAGTTTTGTGGGGCTTGATTCTGGAGGGGCATATCCACCACGTTCTAAAAGATAGGTTGAAAAGGAACAAAATTGATCGAAAACTTAAGATATGATCATATTGAACATCTTGAGCTAAAGAAACCTGATCTAAAAATTCTCTTTGATGCATGTCTGCCCTACATAATGATAAAAAGTGGGATAAGTCCATTCCATTCCCAATTTTCTAGCAGCCAAATCGAACAACTAAAATATTTCTTGAACAAATTGTTCTCCCTCCTCTCCTCTCCTTTCCTCTCTCCCCTCCCCTCTTCCCTTCTCCCTTCACCTTTCCCTCCTGTCCCCTCCCCTTCCCTTCTCTTCTCCCTCTTCTCTCCCCTCCCTTCCCCTCTCCTCGTCCAATGCTAATTCTGTATTTGCTGCTTCAAGCAAGATAGTGTTTTGTCTCTTTGACGCATGCCAGTTAAAAATAGGAGCTGTTTTATTCGTTTTCCTCCAGAGATAGGTGGGTGGCTGGGAGGGAGTGGTATGGAGGTCTTTTAATTCCTAAAGTGCAGAAGAACCCATATGCTCTTGACTGGATAGTATTTCTTGAGTCCCTTCCTCCCTCTGTGTCTTTTATTTCTTACCCAGAGGGAGAAGGTGGCAACTCATAAATTCCTTGCCTCTCTAGTTTCTGAGTCTGACAGTGGAGTATCTGTAGCACATTAGCACATCAATGAACTGGATGCTATGAGGTTACAAGTGGGGTCCCCGAGCATTTCATGAGACCTTCTCCCGTTGCTATGCAACTTACAGGTTACCTGTTTCAAACCAGGTTTAGCAGTAAGAAAGCTTAAAGGAGGTAGCTATTTCTAAAGTTCTGCGAGCTGAATTCAAGGTATTTTGGGGTTGTGGTTAGTGTGTGCTGTAACCTTTTGCATTGTACAGGCATGCCTTTAAATCGCAGTAAGCATGTTGAAGAGGACACAGTGGATCAGTGGCTAAGATGCTAAGCTCATTGATCAGAAGGGTTGGCAGTTCGGCGGTTCGAATCCCTAGTGCCATGTAATGGAATGAGCTCCCGTTAGTTGTCCCAGATTCTGCCAACCTAGCAGTTTGAAAGCATGCAAAAATGCAAGCAGAAAAATAGGGACCACTTTGGTTGGAAGGTAACAGCATTCCGTGCGCCTTCGGTTTAGTCCTGCCAGCCACATGACCACGGAGAGGTCTTCAGAGAGTGCTGGCTCTTCAGCTTTGTAACGGAGATGAGCACCGCCTCCTAGAACCGGAAACGCTGAGCACGCATGTGTGAGGGGAACCTTTCCTTTACCTTTTAAGCATGTTGATGCGATATTAAATCTTCCTCCATGTTCTTTCCTGCACAATCCTTGCTAGCTGATGTTTGGACTCTCGTCAGGATCCAAAAACCATTAGAACTTGGTTTTAGAGGTCCTATGAAACTATAGAAGGCCCCCAAACTGGATGACCACAGATCATTACAAAGAACCTCTGAACATTAGAGCCTTAGATTTGTTTCTGTGATTGCTGATTTGTTCTCTCATTTCTCCAGAGTTAGATGAATACATTCTCTCCCCAACCTCTTTTCACCCCAACCAACCACTCCATGAGAAAAATTAGGGGCTGAACAATTGACTCAGTGAAGTCCAAGATCGAGAGGAAATTTGAAACCTGGTTTTGCCACCCTGAATCACAACACATTCATGGTTGGCCTTAGCTTCAATTTAATTTCTAAATTGTGAAGCCTCTTCCCGTTGGCATTCTCAATTGTGGTGTGCGCTCTGAGCTTGTTTGTTTTCTTGCAGATGTTTCATTACTAAACAAGGTAACATCATCAGTACTAGAAGGCAATGGGGTTTGCTCAGAAAACACCAAGGATCCCACATTGTGAGTTACAAATCTTCTCTTCCGTCGTTGATCTCAGATTCGCCAGGATTGCAGTTCCCCAAATCCCCCAACCTGAAGGTTAGGGAGAGTTCTTGAGCTACCAGCCTCTGGTCCTTACCAAACTGGGTGTCCTGGGCCACAAAAATAGGCTCTGTGTCATGCAAAGTAACACTTCCTTTGTTTGTCCTTCCCGCTGGGATCTTGCGTTGCGCCAAATGTACTGAAGCACATCTCTGTTCCTGCGTGTCTCTCTGGATAACGTTCCCGGTGGATTGTGCCCTTAGTTTAGACAGCTGCAGCCATAATGACCTATTGCCTCTCCTTTATTTTTCTTTGTCTGGGAAAGGGTGTGTGTGAGAGAGGTTTTCTCTGACGGAATCGAGTGCGTTTCCTATTCGGTTGGCGGATGTGTTGACTGAGATTGTATGCTTTGATTTATTTATTTTTTCAATTCAACATGAAACTCCACCCCAGTCATTTCTCTCTTGGCCATCCCATATGGCCAGGTCCAATCCATTTCCTGGTAACCCAAGAATAAGCCGTAGGAAGTTTCACTGAGGGTGCACCGAAAATGTTCATGGATGTTCAGCCAATTCCAAAGGATGTACAGGGACATCTGCTTTCCAAGCATTCTTCTCCCAATTGTTTTGGTCAGTGTTTCTCAACCTGAGTAGATTACAGATTAACAGAATTGGAAGGGATGTTGTAGGTCATCTAGTCCAACCCCCCACCCAAGCAAGAGACCCTACAACATTTCTGACAAATGGCAGTCCAATCTCTTCTTGAAAGCCTCCAAGGATGAAGCTCCCACAACTTCTGAAAGCAACTTCTGTTCCACTGATTGATGGTTCTCCCTGTCAGAAAATTTCTCCTTATTTCCAGGTTGACTTTCTCCTCGATCAATTTCCATCCATTGTTCCTTGTCTGGCCTTCGGGTGCCTTGGAAAATAGATTGAACCCCTCCTCTATGTGGCAGCCCCTCAAGTAGTAGAAGACGGCTATC